CCCCAAAAAAAAATGGAAGTGCAGATGAAAATATGATTGCGGATCGGATAATTAGTTATCTGAATAATAAGAAATAATCTTCGTAATCCAATTCAAACAGCACCTAAATTGTATGATCGTAGTTTTTTCGAGTTAACGTAGGTACAACTTCCCATTGTCTGATCCGTCTAATCCTCCATTGTTTCTGGCCGCCAAATGATTCATCCTTTAGGCTCTAATTTTCTTAGATCCTATATTTTACCATGCTACTATTATTTATATTGTAAATGCAACTCTTATTCCTTTTTGGTGATGAAGCTAGAGTACGTCGAGAGCACTTGATTCTTTGCCTCCAGATGGGCATGTATCTGTATAAATGATTAGCTCGCAAGTTGACACTTTTAATCCATTTTCTTGTCTGTATTAAAGAATTGTTTAAGGCACTGCCCCTAATCGTTGTTTAAATTTCAAATCTGCCCCTAATCTTTGTTTAGCTTTCAAATCTGATGGTGCATATAAACTAAGATCTTATCCAATACAATCTCGGTACCTCCCATTTCTTCCTTTGTCTCCCGAGCTATTTATGACCATTTGTACTATTTTATTTAATGTAAAGAGAGACCAAGTCTCCTTTCTTCAGTATTGTTATTTACTCATTATTTATGGAATTATACATTTGTTCTTATTCTGTACATGTGAAAGAATTTGAGCATCTAGTCAAATAAGGCAATAAATCAGTAGCCCGAGATCTTTGAAAACTCATATGGTATAACTATATAACCACACACCATTCTACATGTGTAACCTGATTTTTTAAAGTTAATATCATCATCAAATCAGTTGGTCTTACAGTTGTGATGTACTATTGGTGTATGCTCAAATCTCACACTGATGAACTCTGTTATTTCAGGTGTTCCCCAAGATAAAGGATTCCATTCAGGTATTTTCATCTGAGCTCGAGAAACAATTCATTTTTCCTAAGCATTTAGCTGTATGAGAGATGGTCTTTGCTCAACTCCTTTTTTTGTTCTGCAGGGTGGTATAATGCTATTTATTAGCTCTTACTTTGAGTTCATTCGAGTAAGGAACTTCTTGAAGTCACAAGAGGCATCCTGTTGTCTGTTGGGGGAGTGAGTAACATCTTGTGTTCAGATTGCTTTGCATTTCTGTGTATGAAATCGGATTTTGTGATCCAAGTGGCTACTTGCTATTATGTGAGTATGCTGTTCTGGTTTAAGGTTCAGTTGTTTACCTTTGCTTCTAGGTACACTGAGCAGAGTGATATATCTCGTGCACGAGTGTGGTTTTTCAACGGAACAAAAAAAATTATGCTTTACACTGAAAGAGCTCACTTCTATCATCGATACAAGGTTCTTTCTTGAGTGCTATTCATGCTCTCTTACTTCTCTCCTCTTTTTCCTGCTCACAAGAATGCTCATGCTTTTGGTTCTCTATCTTCAGTGCTATTCATGCTGTCTTGCTTTCTGCTATATATCCTGCTTAATAGAGCATTCTGTGATGGAATTATGGATTTTTTGTACCCTTACAAATATGTAGTTTTAGGGAAAAACTAGTAGTGCTTCTACTGAAAGTACCATATATTTTTCCCGGGGCTAAATTCCTGATCTAGTAGACTTGCCAGATCAGGAAAATGTTGATTCGTACAGCAGTCAAGAGGTCGTTTACCTGCTGCTCACTTTGGTATTAAAGGTATCCTCCCTTTGCAGAATATCGAGAAGTCTGGGGATTCTGGTGTCAAACATATCATATCATATTCTTAATAACATTTGTACTTAAACAGTATCATGTGATGGTTGCTATCTTTCTTCTCAATTACACAGCCATTTGGTAGTTAATGTTGGTATTGATCTTGTCTTCTTTCACAGTTATCGGTTGTATATCCTTAGATTCCTCTAAAAGATATTATCAGCCTTTTGTTATTCAATGTTTGCATAATGATAATAATTTTTTTTTGTCTGTTCAACTTGTCCTGGGAATTAGATACGTGGCATGCAGAACTTGATCATATATTCACTTCCAGAGCGGAAAGAATTTTACCCAGAGGTGATCATCTCTACTTCAACTCTCCAATTAGGATAATATGGTGTTTCACACGAGCGCAAGTCTTACCTAGTGATTTATTTCATTTCTTCTGCAGGTTGTAAACATGCTACAAGGGTCTGCTTGCACTGTTCTATTTTCTCGTTTTGACCAGCTTCGGGTATGACTTCAAATTCCTCATACATAATTATGAGTTCATATCTTGCATGCATGCTTTCAACCTTTTTCCATGCTCGCCCTATCAACGTACTGTCTCTTAAATTTTCTTCCAAGTGTTTTGGTTTCCTTGTAGTGTTCTTACCGCGTAATTTACTTTCACTTGAATTCAGCTTGAGAGGATTGTTGGCACTGCTGCTGCAAAAAGGATGATCACATCGGACAAGGGTGTTTTTGTCTTCTGTTAAAAGTTAAAGTCACAAAACAACCAACTTAAGTGTTTAGCCAAGGAAAAGTCCTACTCTCAAAAGGGTCAACTGTTTGTGCAGCTCAAGGAATTGGTTCTTGCCTTTACTTATGCAAAAATGGTTCTTGTCTTCAAATCAGAAATCCTACTAACATGTATTTTGAGCAATGTTGCTTAATCAATTTTTTTTAAAAAAAATTAAAATTGGCATATTGATAACATTATTCAAATTTTCAAAGACAAAAAAAATGAATTTATTCGTTTCAAATGTTCTCTACTTACTGATACCTTACGAACCTTTGA